ACCTGCTGCCATCAGGAGCATCGAATTCCTGGTGTTAGGGCCCTGGGTCGGGGTCCGGAGAGAGGGTGGGCCCGGACCCCCCACCCTGCCACCAGGGCAAGTGATATTTCGGCCAGTGCGAGCCGTTAACCCGGATACATTGGGGAAGGGGGACCCTGAAAAGGGGGGGGCGTGATCTATGACAGCTGGTTTGGAATACAAAAGAAAATTCTGCTCTGAGAGGGATGCTGGTGCATTGTCCTCTCCATATTGAGGGAGGGATGGGATTGATAATAAACTGGCACTGGGCAGTCTTCTGACCAAGGCATGACAACTCCACATTGGGGTCCTAGGCTCAGACATTGCACAGAACTGGCTGCAGCTGTTATGTATTGCTGGTTTATGACTGGCTAGGGAAAGCCTTCCTGTGCCCCAGCGGGTAATGTCCTTGGCTGTGTTAGCGCATCTCCTGGAACAGATTGCTGCTTGTCTCAGCCTCGGTGTGAGAGGGAGCCAGAGGCACTGCCAAAGGCTTTAGCTGCACCCTAGCTCCAGGTTACTCTCCAGGCAAATGCCTCACAACTACCAAATAAACAGGCATCACTGGAGCTCGAGTCAATTTCATTCTTGTCCTGCGCTCAGTTACTCACAAGGGGACCATGGTCACAGCATGGAAGTCAGGACTCTGGTGTGCTCTCTGTCACTGTCTGTGACATTGGCCACGTCACATCTCCCTGTGCTTCTCTTTACCGATCTGTGTACCGAGATGTTCACTGGGACTTTGTTTTGCTGGGTGATTTGCAGATCCTTCAGAAAGTGTCCCTGTTCCCGTCTACCCTCGGTCACCTATCTGGAGACCTGTCTGGATACGATCTTCCCTTCCATACTGGGCACTTACAGGGTATCAGACCCTTCGGTGATGTGGACATTATCTCTAGTTTTCCTACTAATCAACTATAATTGTTAAACACAGAGATATTCCCAGAGCAGCCAGTTCCTCCTGACTCAACCCAGAGATTCTTCTCTCCCTTTGGGAAGGGCCCTTAGTTGCTGTTTACTTCTAAACATGGAAAAGTAACAGAGAAGTTAGAACAGGCTTTATCCAGCCTGGCTACATTCAGATGCCATTTGCCCCTCCAATGCTCAGCGAACCCCACTGGGATTTCAGAGCTGTGTTATAAACGGTTGACATCACAGAGCTGGCTCTCGGCGTGGGATGCTGCTATAGTTAGCAAGGTACCTCGGGGGTGTTAGACAAGAAACAGCCGACCCAGAGCGAATGGGGGAAATGGATCACTTTATTGCTGACTCACATTCCCCTCGGAATGCAACACAACGTTCTAAGTGGCAATGGTTTGACACCAGTTACTCTCCTTTATCCATTTCAGGGTGCTAATTCACACACCTGTCAGTACTTTCCATAAACCCTCATTTAGCAAAGTTCACCCCCATGCAATGAATATCGATAAGCAGGTGAGGAATACGATTCTACCCGCCCCTGTTTGTTGTTTTACTGGTTTTAGCTGAATCAGCCTTACATACTGCCTTCCGCAGCAGCTTGCAGGGAGGGGAAAGCGCGCTGACCCTGCAAGTATTTTACAGGGCAAGTGAGAAGTCAAAACACGACACCGTTCAGTGTAACGACCTTTCTAGCCTGCAAGGACAAAGGGGGGAAATATGCTTAAAGGGCAATGCCTGCTTGGCTGACCCCTAACCGCTAACCCAGAGCCCTAGTCACCTGTACATATCCCAATACGGGAGTCCCAGGGAAGACATGTCCCTCTCAGCACTCACAGGTACCAGCTCTAGCTGAGGGGCTCCCCTGCTCCACTGACCCAGGGCCACATGGGCCAGATGGTAGAGTCAGTCTGGGGTCCTTTCTGCTCTGCACAGAAATATCCCAGGGCCCTTGCCATAGGGGATGAGTTTCCCCCAGACTCATGGACCCAAAAGTCCCTCTTTCTTGCACCCTCCCTCCCCTCCTCAGGGTCGTGGTCTCCAGCCCTGGGTAGCAGCCACCTTCATGAGGCTGGTCAATGAGGCCCTACAAGGACTGGAGGGTTTCTCTATGGCCTATATTGACGACCTGGCCATTTCCAGTGACTCCTAGCGGGATCACCTCAATCACATAGGGGTGGTGCTGTGGCGGCTCGGGGAGGCCAACCTGACTGTCAAGGTGTCCAAATTCAGGATGGGGACCTCAGAGGTGACTTATCTGGGGCACAAGGTGGGCAGTGGGTCGGTGCACCCCGAAACCCTGAAGGTGGAGGCCATTAAGAACTGGCCTATTCCCCAAACAAAGAAGCAGGTCCAGTCATTTGTGGGCCTGGCCAACTACTATAGGAGGTTTGTGAAGGGGTTCAGTGAGGTCGTAGCCCCAATCACAGACCTCACAAAGAAGGAGAGGCCAGACGGGGTGGTGTGGACAGAGGCCTGTGAGGAGGGTTTCAGAGCATAAAGGATGCCTTGGCCAGGGAACCCGTGCTGGCCAGCCCAGATTTCAGCAAGCCCTTTTTGTTGTGCAGTGATGCTTCCAACGTTGGGCTGGGGGCGGTACTAATGCAGGACGGAGTGGGGGAAAAAGACACTCTGTGGCGTATCTCAGCAAAAAGCTGTCCTCCGCAGAGCAGAATTATGCTCTGAGAAGGAGTGCTATGCCATTGTGTGGGCTGTCAAGCCGCTCAAACACTATCTCTACAAGAGGAGATTCACTGTGATGAGCGACCATGCCCCTCTGGTTTGGCTGTGCAAGGCCAAGGGGACCAACTCCAAGTTGCTGCACTGGAGCCTGGCCCTGCAGGAATACGAATGGACATAGTCCACATAAAGGGAAAAGAGAATATTGTGGCAGATGTCTTATCTAGTATGGGGGGACCCGTGTAATGCCCTCAGTGATGTCACTAGCATTACTTCCTGCATCAATTTTGCGTCGGGGGTGTAACGTTATCGGACTCTAAAGGTCATAGTTGCACCCATGGGAGGGTGTTTGCCACAAAAGTTGGCACGAAGGGGGACATGTGGGGTGTCAAACGAAAGCTTACCTTCTACTCATTGGGCACGTCTACATTGGCCCCTTCTTCGGAAGGGGCATGCTAATTAACTTCAAAGTAGGAATAAGAAATCCTCCGGAAAAAGCCCTTTTCCGGAGGATCGGGCCCAGTGTAGACGCTCTTTTCCGGCTTTTCTAAAAGCCGGAAAAAAGCGGCGGACATTTTTATTTAAATGCCGTGGGGGATATTTAAATCCCCCGCGGATTTCCCTAATACGAAGTGGAAAATTAGCATGCCCCTTCCGAAGAAGGGGCCAATGTAGACGTAGCCATTCTGTCTATGCTATTCCTGTAATTGTATAGTATCTGTATGTGAAGTTCTAACCATGTGCTCTGTATGGATGCTTGAAAATTCTCTGTCTGAGGCAGAGCAATGGTCAAGAGAGGATCAGCTGATGGCTATGCAAGTTAGCAAGGTGACAATGAGGCTCTGGGTGCCAATCCACACCTGAGGAATGTCTAGATGTTTGAGCCATCCAGGATAATGGTTGCTGACTTGGGACACCAGGATACGTTGATGGACTATGTAACCGTATCAGACCAAGAAGATGCCAGGAGAGGTATATAAGTGCAATGTGGCACCCTCCATTTTGGTCTTCAGCTCAGCTCTTAATCCCACAGGCAACATTGCAGGGAACCACAAGCCAGAAAAAACTGTGGACCCATCCTGACATAGGATGTACACTAGAGATTTTAAGCCAGCAGTTATAACATCTTTGCTACGAGCCTGCATCGAGAACTGGCAGATTTGATGCATGTAATGTATGATACTTTAACAAACTTAATCTCATGCTTTTCTATCTGTTAGCAATAACCTTTAGAATGTAGAATTTAAGGATTGGCTCAGCGTGTCTTGTGGGTAAGATCCAGAGTGTAAATTGATTGGGACCTGTGGCTGGTTTCTTGGGACCTGAAGAACCCGTTCGGGGAAGGTGAGATCGGGTTCTATAGCCCCTCACTTGTGTGCAGGCCCGGGGCTGATTGGGGCACGGACAGAGCTGGGGTTTCTGAGGGGTTTTGCTCGTGAAGCTTCTGGCTGGACAGACAGGCAGCTGAAGCGCTCAGTGCGACTGGTTGTGCCCTATTTGGGAAGGGCCTCCAGTCTGGGGCTGTAAGAAGCCCCAAGTTTGAGCAATTTGCCCTGAGCGGACGCCCTCAGCTGTGCCCGGACCCAGCCCGGTCCGTCACAAGGGGGCCTATGTCTAGCTCTCCATCCCTTTCTGCATCATCTATGCCATCGCCCTCTTGAAGAACATCACCATCCTGTTCATTGTGAAGAAGGTACCAAGCTTCGATGGCTCCGTGTACTATTTCCTCTGAGTGCCAGCCATCACCGACCTCGTCCTGACTACATGCATCTTGCCCAAAATGCTGAGCATCTTCTGGTTCAATTTCAGGGAGATCGATTTCAGTGCCTGCCTCACCCAGCTGTACTTCTTCACTGTTTCACAGTAACTGAGTCTGGGCTATATGTGGTCATGGCATTTGGTCACTACATGGCTATCTGTGATCCCCGGAGACATTCCACCATCATGACAAAGTCCGTGGTGGCCAAGATTGGCCTGGCCATGGTGCAGTGCTGTGTCATATTCGCACTGCCCTATCCCTTCCTTACTAGGCGATGGCTGTATTGCAGAACCAACATCATCCCCTAACACTACTGCACATGTATTGGTGTGCTGAATCTGGCCTGTGCCAACATCCACCTTGGTAAGAACAATGAGGAGTCCTGTGGCACCTTATACACTAAGGCTGTGTCTAGACTGTACCCCTTTTGCGGAAAAGGGATGCAGATTAGACACAGCGCAATTGCAAATGAAGCGGGGATTTAAATCTTCCCCGATTCA